CCCACAAGGAAATGAATAATTCTGTGCTCGAAGTGGAATAATTTTGTGCTGGAAGTGGAAGATAAAAAGGGACCTGATGGCTGAGGGTGCTGCAAATTAGCTGATGAGCAAAGCACCCAAGTGCCCCCCTGGTGTGGGTGCTTGTGGAAGCTCCCGCTAATGGGGCAGTGCTGGGATGCAGGTGGATGCTGTGGGGCTGTGGCAGGGCTGCCAGAAAAGCCTTTTGGCTGGTTATTCCATGATTTCCACGCAGCCAGGTTTATTGAAGGCAGCTCCAGGTCGTGCACAGGCTGTAGCTGCCTCTCCTGACACAGCCTCTGCTCCGTGTCCAGCACACCCTGAGCCCCTGAAGATGCTGCACCCCTGGGTTTGTCTCAAATGTGCCTTTGATTCCTTCTCTACAGTTCTAGCTACGCTGGAAACATTCCTGAAAATGAAAGCCAGCCCTTTTCTGGGCTTTGAAGTGTGGAGTAGAACTGAACAGAGAGGAGGAAAAAAAAAAAATCTATCCAGTGGGGGGATGGGTTTTTAGAAAAACACCCTATTGAATCAACAGCATTTGTATTAAAACCAGCAAGTCCTTGGAATATTTCCATAGGAACCAGCCCTCCCATTCTGGCCAGGCTCCCTGCAGCAGCATCCAGAGCTGTGGATGAGTGGGGAGCAGTGGCAAGGGGGGCTCTGGGCTGTGCCCACCCCGGGCAGGGGCAGCAGGGCAGGGAAGGCTGCTCATTGTTGAGTCAGTGATTCACAGCTGTGACTCACAGCCCCATCCTATAGCCATGGAAGGCAGCCAGGTCTGGCCATCATCTGTGTGCATTCTCCACTGTCAGAAGTTATTTTTGGATGTTTTTAGATTACAGCCCTTGGGTTTTTTTTCTGTGCCTCTGAATTCTGGATGATTGCGCTGCCAGTAATTGAGACACTTGAATTTCCTGCTTAGAGAAGTGAGTTCAATACCTTTTTTTTTTTTTTTTTTTTTTTTGCAATGCTAAGGCATTTCTAAAATAGCTTTTCTACGTGGCGTCATGAGCAGGCACACAGCTTTGGGGCTCTTTCTGCAAAATTCAGGAGCACTGGGTGCAGTAAGGGTGTAAAAAAAGGACATGGGGGTGTCAGGTTGAACATGAATCACCAGCACACCTTTGCTGTGATGGAGACTGACTGGTTTCACTGGTCAGGTTGGAGCCAGCAGGACAAAAGTTGCCCTCAATTCCCCTGTGGCACTCACAGATCCACACCCGGAGCACTGTGCCAAATTTTGGTCTCCTCACTGCAAGAAAGGCAGGGCCATGTGAGAGCCACCAAAATGATCTGGAGCCCCAGGCAGGGTGGGAGAGGCCGAGAGCTCCTTCCACTCGGAAGTGTGGGAGCTGGGAGCACTGCAGGATCCTGAAGGACCCTTCCAATGTGTTGGAAACCAACCCGTTGTAGGGTTCTACGATTTGTGCCCCTCTTCCAGTCTGATTTTATGATCTCACAGGGAATTAAGGGGATGTAGGGCTTTGGGTGTCCCCCAGGCTGTGGGGTAATGGAGGGGCTGGTGGGGCTCATGTGTTCATCCCTCACTACCACAAGGAAGGCAAAGGGAATTTGGAAAAAAGGAATGTGGAATGCTGCCCATCCTGAGCTGGCTGCTGATGCACGATCCTCCTTCCCTGGGCCACACCACTCTAAACCAAGAGCTCAACGTGAGCAAGACCCGCGTTTCTCGGTACAGCCACTCCCCTGGGAGGGTTGGACTGTGCCACTCAGACCCCTCCCAGGCAGCCGGCACTGCCCAGACCCTTCATCCCTCCCTTCCCAACCCATTCCTGGCCCAATCTGCTGCCCAGTGCTGCCAGCTCTCCTGTCTGTGCCTTCAAGCAGCCCTGGGGCCGAGGGCTGTTGGGATGGGGTCAGGAATCCTGGTGCAGGTGAATTTCCTGAGCACAGGGTGAGCCTTTCCCACTGCCCTAGGACACAAAAAGGCTTTGACGGGAGGCAGGAGGAATTTCTGTACAGGGAAGCCTGAAGGAGGGGTGGGAGAGGAGGCAAGAGTCGTTTGGGAGGTGGAAAATGTGATGCTGGCACTGCCACATCAAAGAGGGAGTTGAACCTGAGCCTCTGATTTCAAAACGGAGCTCAAACCACCGGAATATTACAATCGAAAAAAACACCCAAAATATATTTGGCACTTTTTTGTGCTTTCTCTTCCCCCATCTCTGCGTACCACCATCATGTTTGGGCAGCTCCCAGAGCCAGGATCAGCGGCTGGGAGGCTCAGGGATGTTTCTGAGCAGCTTTTCCCAAGCCCTGAAAAACCTGGGAACCTCATCTTGCAGCTGGGGGTGGGGCAGGAGCTGCTGGGGTTAACGGGTGGCTGAATGTTGTGGTTTGCAACGGAGTTCAGGTTCCTAAGTCCTTTATTGGATCTAGCCCGGGGCTCTATTCCCAGCCCTGTTTGTGACATTAACAGGTCACTGCAGCCCCAGGGCTGTCCCCACCTTGTCCTGGCACGGCACCGAGCAGGGGACCCGTGCCTGAGGAGTCTCGGCACAACCATCATGGAGAAATCAATTTGGGAGGCGAGCACGCCTTTTCTGACCCTTTTCTGACCTTTTTTGAAACCGTGCCACCAGCCACGGGGCGCAGGAGGGCACAGAAACAGTGCCAGGATGCCCCGGGAGGCGGCAGGCAGCAGGTATTTCAGGATGCTGCCGGCAGGGTCGTGCCGGGGCAGCTTCTGCTCCATTAGTGGTTATTTGCATCCTCTAAAGATTAACTGGAGTGAGAGCAGCACCCTGTGCCCGGCTGGGCATGGATGGGGATGCAGAAGGGGAGGGATGGTCCTGTGGTCCTGGCTCATGTCCTGAACATCTTTGACTGAGTTAATAAGACCAGATTTTCTGCAGAGCACCTGGGAGTGCCCACACAGCATCCTTACAGTCAGATATTGTGTTTCAGAGGGGGTTTGAATTTATATTCACAATTCCAGCATGGTTTGGGTTGGAAAGGACCTCCCACAGCATCCCATCCCACCCCCTGCAATGGGCATGGACACCTTGGACTATCCCAGGCTGCTTCAAGCCTGGCCTTGGGCACTTCCAGGGATCATGGGGCAGCCACAGCTTCTCTGAGCACCCTGTGCATAAGAAAGGATTTCACAGGGATGGTGAAAGCTCGAGTGCATTCAAGGCTTCTCTCTTTGCAGAGCTTTGATGCAGCCCCGAGGTCACTGTGGCAGGTACAACCTTCAGGAAGGTGCCTGTGGGTCCATTCCAATTCCAAAATGTCCATACTGAGCCTGTTCTGTGTGTGAGGGTGCAGGTGCAGGGGGCACTGGGGCAGGGGGATTTGCAGGGTGCAGGGTGCTGAGTGCTTGGCTCGGGGCCACCAGTGGGACACCCTGGGGCTGGGCATGTCACCTGCTTCAGGAGCTCAGGGGCTGAGCAGGAATCTGGTGTCTCAACAGGATGTTGAGATCTCAGCTGGGCTTCAGGGTCTGAGCAGGGCATTGGGGTCTGAGCAGGGTGTTGGGGTCTGAGCAGGGTGTTGGGGTCTGAGCAGGGTGTTGGGGTCTGAGCAGGGTGTTGGGGTCTGAGCAGGGTGTTGGGGTCTGAGCAGGGTGTTGGGGTCTGAGCAGGGTGTTGGGGTCTGAGCAGGGTGTTGGGGTCTGAGCAGGGTGTTGGGGTCTGAGCAGGGTGTTGGGGTCTGAGCAGAGTGTTGGGGTCTGAGCAGGGTGTTGGGAACTGAGCAGGGTTTTGGGGTCTGAACAGAGTGTTGGGGTCTGGCAGCTCTTGGTTTTAAGGGTGGTGGAGGATGCCAGCTCCATGCCTTGTAGCCTGGTGGATTGAACACTTTTCTGGGAAATGGGGTAAGGTCTCTTCATGGGAAGGGCTTCCCAACCCCCCATCCTCTCCTATCTCACTTCAGGAGGGCTCCCAGCTGCAAGAGCAGGGCAGCCTTCATCCCAAGGGAGCCAGCACACGGCCAAGGGCTAAATCCTGGCATTCCAATGGATGGAAAGGGCTGTGGGTGGTCAGTGACTGGGAGAGGAGACAGCGGTGATCTGAGCGGTGGGGTCATTTAGGGACAGAGCAGAGGGGACCCCAGGAAGCTGGTGAGATGTTTAGGAAGTTGTGGAGGCTCTGGAGGGGCTCTGGGAGCACAGCCCTGAGCAGTGAGCGGTGGCTGAGCACAGCTGACACCTGGCAGACATGAAAGCCGGGCTTGTTAGGCTGCACACAGAGTGCTGATTGTAGCCTTGGCCACAAAACCTCCTCAGCCAAAGCCTGACAGCATCCCCTGAGCTTTCCCAGGCGGATCTGTGGTGCTCATCACCCCCAGCAGCCAAGGGGAACTGAGGCAGATGCCCAGATGCTCCCTGCTCTCCTCTCCCTGCTTCTCCAGCCTCCCCAGGACTGATCTCAGACTCTTTTCAGAGCAAATTCCGTGGTGCCAGGCAGCTGCTCCATGATGATCCCAAATCTCACCACACCACGGGGTTTTCTCACCCTCCATCACATGAATGAAGCTTCAGAATGGATTTGTAACCTGAAAGAGCTTGAAAGGTGCATCCACTGCAGAATGACAGAGGAGCTGGTGCATATCTCTGCACCTCTGGGGCTTTAGCACTGCAGTTTTTGTGATATTAAACTGTAATTTTGTCAATGGATTACATTATATCCCGTGGCAGGGGGTTGGAAATAGATGATCTTCAAGTTCTCTTCTGACCCAAACCATTCTGTGATTCTGTGTGGGTGGGATTTGGAGGAGAGGAGATGCTTGGCTGCAGCCTCTGAGGGCAGCAGGAGTTGGGAAGGTGTTGCTGGAAGCACCATTGAGCCCCCAAGTGCTTTTGGTGGTTATTCTTCAGGAGCCTGGTGAGGGATGGACACCTCTGAAAGGGTCTTGTCTCCTGAGTGCTGTTTAGTAGAAGGACTTAGAGCATGCACTGGTCCAGCCCACTCCTCCTGGCTGAACTGGAGTAACTTTCTGTTTGTTTTCTTTTCCCACAGCTCCCAGAATGGAGAGGAAGCTGGAGCCTGGCCCAACAACCAGTTTGACACGGAGATGCTCCAAGCCATGATCCTGGCTTCAGCCAATGGTTGGTGTCCATCACTCCTGGGAAAACCCTGACTCCTGCTCTTGGGGCCATCTCGGGTTCATGCTGCTAGATAAGATGCTGTGGGACTGATTTATCTGGGTTAGCTGGGCTGGCTGCAAAAGTTCTGCTTCAACAGATCCCAAAGCTGGTGGAAAATCACTGATGTCCCTGCAGAGAGAGGGGTCAGGAGGGATCCAGGCAGAGGAGATCTGGTTCCTGCAGACAGGGACACCTCTTCCACCCAAACTCTGCTTTGTACTGAAACAACACGGTCTGCCTGTGCTGTGCTTGTGCTATGTGACAGAGCCAGTCTGGCAGTGATGTTTTATAAACTCCTTGGTTCCAGAAAGTCACAGGAGACTAAACTTGCTGGAAGGTGAGGAGGAAGGAAGGCTGGAAGTTTGTGTCTGGCTAGAGGCAGGACCAGGGAAACAGCGAATGCCTGACTCAGTATTCCCAACAAACCTTGTGTGCAGAGGAGCTCCCGAGTCCCTCTGCTGGAACTCACCAAGGTTTCCCCACTGGCTGCTGCTGCCTCCTTGCAGCTGTATTCACAGGAGGGTGGTTTGGGGTCATTTTGGGTTGGTTTGTTCTGGTTTATGGCTGTGCAGAAGCCTTGGGCAGGGAGGGATGTTCCCACACACCCACAGTCTCCGTGGCTCTGCATAAAACAAGGACGATTATCATTCTGTGCAGTGCTATGGATAAAGAGCCTGGTTTTCATAGAGCCTTTATTTATAAATACCTCCAAGTCTTTCCCCCCCCTTGATATAAAAATAGAAGCACAGCCATAAAACCCTGTGCAAAATGTTTAGGATGTTTCCTTTGAGCTGTTGGGAGGGAAGGAATCTGAGGTAGGAGGAATGGCTTTGGTGTTGCTTTCTTGGAAAGCTGCTGCAGCTGAACTTTGCTGCTTCACAGACACCAGGAGACAGCTGCTGTGGCTGGGGAGGGGGACGAAGGTCTGGGGCAAGGGAGTTGTTTACACTCAAGAGAAAGAAACAATGTGAAAATGTGTCTTTGCTCTGAAAAATAGCCCTTGGGGTTGCATGTGGTTATCATCACCCAGTGTCTCCAGATCCGGTTTCCTTGCTGGTAAATAAAGCTGTTTTTCTGGCTGCTGCTCCAGCAATCCCCAGGATCAGAGCTAAGCGGGTCCCTTCCAGGTTAAGCACCGACTTTCACGGAGCCCCGGGCCCTACTGCAGCAAATCTCCCCCAATCCCCAAGTCTCACACAGTCCTAACCTCTCCCACGGCTCCGGTCCGCCCAGGGGGTTGATGTAAATCAAATTCCTCCTACAGACAATGGCTTTCCCTTATCCATCCTTTGCAGGCTCTTTCTGTGCTGGATGTGTGGATGGGGACACAGCACAAGTTTTTTCCTCCAGCACAGTGTTTTCCTGTCACCCTCACTCTCTGCTCCTTATTTCTGCTCTCTCTTTAAGCCAATAGTGTTGATTGGAGCAGGCTTTGATTAGGGGCAGCGCTAATTGACCATGAAGCTTTGTGCTACCCATCCCTGAGTGTGATTTCCTGGCCTTTAAAATAATCCTTATCTTTCACTGCCACCCCCTGATCTCTGTTGGAGCCCTGGGGTGACAGGTGGGACACAGTGACACAGGTGAAGCCTTGGATCCCTTACCCTGGGGTTTTCCTTGGCTTCAGCAGGAGGCAGAGCTGGCTGTGCCAGGCCAAGCCTGCACCATCCAGTCCTTCCAGGATTAAATCCCTTTCCCAATGGTTAAATCACCATCACAAGTCAGAGTATCTGGGGACCTGGTTTTTCCCCCCAGGGTTGTGACCTTGCTGTAGGGTTCTGTCTCCCTTCCCTTCCATCCTTCCTCTGGATCTCCCAGCCTTGCAACCAGGAACAATATGCAAAACCAGTGTTTTGAACGATCTGAATGGGCAGAGGCAGCTGCTGGGACAGCCTGAGGAGCACAGATGCTCCAGGACACCAGACACTCAAGGACAGACGTCCTGTCCTTAAAATACTCTGGCTCCCAGCGAGAATTTAGAGAGGTGCCATGGGATGGTGGGGGAGCAGACAGAGAGGGGGGTCCCTGTCCCCCCAGGCAGGGCAGACACGCTATATTGGGTGCCCTGAAAGCCCCACCAGCAGCTGCAGCAACACCTGCTCTGGAGCTGCCCTCAGCCTCCCCTCTGCCCACGGGGGCGATGGAGCCACTCTCTGGTTATTTTTGCCAAAGCCCAAATCCTTGTTTTCCTCCTCAGGACCATTTGGGATAATGACAGGCTGCTGGTAGAGGCTGAGCGTGACCTTTCCAGCTCAAGTGCTTTGCTTGGCAAGAGCACCTCGGTGCCCATTTATAACCCTCTATTGTTCCTGTTCTCTCTCTTCTTTTCAGCCTTAATGTCAGTGTTACCTAGAAACAGCCGGTCACCCTTGCCCAGGACCGACTGGCAGGCTGGGAACTTCACCAGCGCCTTTTTCTCCCTGGTGGAAGCTGTGCTGAGACTGCAGATTAATTCATGGGGACTTGGGTGGTGCTGGCACCCCCAGCCCTTCACTGCTCAGAGCCCTGGGATGGCCCCAGAGGGACACTGGGCAGCAATATCCAGGGAAGAGAAGGTGCCCAAGTCCACCCAGCCTCTCACTGGGCTGATTCCAGCTGGGACAGCCCAGAAAAAACAATTGTCCCATGGCTGGAGGCTGTAGTCCGGCTGTGAGATGGTCCCTGCACATCTCCAGTCATCCCATCCCATTTCTAACACCTCGATGGGTATGTGAGCTGGTTGCTAATGAAGTGAGCTGCTGCTGAGGCAAGGGAATATTAGCAATAAATATCACTAATTACAGACATATCTCCCCAGCACAGGGTCCTCCGAGCCCTGCTGGGTTTGGAACCCATTTCATGGGGACTCTGGATGAGTTCTCCTGCAGTGAATGCTTCCAGGGCAGGAAGTGAAAGGCATTTCCCCACGCTGGGTCGCTGTGTTTGTGCACCACGGCCCCTGTCCCGGTGCACAATATCCTGCCTGTTTTCAGCCTCGCTGTTTTTCCCTCCCTGCCCTCTCCAACAGAGCAGCTGCAACTTTTCAAGCTGCAGTTGCTCCATCCTTCTGACCCCTGCAAAGGGAATGTGCACACAGCCATATTTCAGGGGGACGGTGGGATGTGGTCCAGCTTTTTGTCTGGCTGCCTTAGGCACCTCCATCTGCTTAGGAAAAAGCAAAGGCAGAGCAGAGGCGTGCACAGAGCTGGTCTGGAGTGAGGAGAAACACGAGGGGACCCAGCCCACCACCTCTGCTCATTGTTTTTCTTTGTTCCCACAATCTCTGTGCCTGGCAAAGGAGGGAGCAGCACCCTGGGCTCTGCTTTGGGACCTTCGGGTGCCCTTGCTGGGCTTCCCCATCCTCCAGGACAGCCTGGCCCCAGCCATGAGCATGAGGCAGTTAAAGGGCTGAGATGGGAGCCACGGTCTCTCATACAAAGGCTGAGTTTCAGCAAACCATTTCTGAGCAGGGCTGTGCAAGGATCGCACCCTGAGCCGTGCACAGGCAGCTGCTCTGGAGCAGAGAGTGCAGCAGCTCATGGCAACAGCATCGCTTGGGCCCTGCCATCCCCCCGTGCTCACTTCTCCCCCATCTCCATCTGCTCTCCAGCATCCCGGGGGTGCCCTGTGCCCCTCCCCACTCCTCGCTCCGTGCTGGAGCTGTGCACAGCGACAGGAATGAATTCGCCTTCCCCTCCCCCTGATCTGGACCATCAGACACGCTCTGGCATTGATTTCCTTGGCGCTCGGCTTCCTAGAGCCATTTTGCGGTATTGCAGGGGGGAGGTTTTCTTTCTCATCTCCTGTGTGCTGCTCCCTGAATAAACCTGGCTGCAGAAAAATACCGCGGGCAGGGTTTTAAATGCGGCGGAAAAATAAATAAATATTGGATTTCCTTTAATGCATCGCTAATGGTGTGGCTGCACAATATGTTTGCAATGGGCAGTTTTGGGGGGGTTTCTGTGCCCTCACAGCCCTGTGGGGAGCTGAAGGGTGATGTTGGTTTGGGTTTGACACCCTGTGGGGCTGCTGGGGCTTGGGGTGGGGGTCTCCAGCTGGCTTTAACATCCTGCCCTTCTCTTTTCCCCCTTCCCCGGCGTTCCCCGCAGAAGCTGCTGACGGTAACTCCACCCTGGGAGGCGGCAATGGCACGATGGGGCTGAGCGCTCGCTATGGCCCCCAGTTCACCCTGCAGCACGTCCCCGATTACCGGCAGAACGTCTACATCCCGGGCAGCAACGCCACCCTCACCAACGCCGCCGGCAAGCGCGACGCCAAGAACGCTGCTCCCGCCGGAGGCAACAAGAAAAAATCCGGGAAGAAGGAGAAGAAGTAGTGAAGAAGAAAAAAGGAGACCTTAGAGCTACAGGGCAGCCGGCTCCAGCACTCCCCCAAAACCACAGCCCAGGCCGGAGGACGAATGTGAAATTTTTTTGTGGTGCAAAAGTAGGAAATGCTGCGAATGTATCTCATCATCAGAGCCGAGAGCAGGGGCTCGCTGCTCTCGGGTCTCATGATGAAAACCGATCCAGAATCTAAACCGAACGCAAACAAGTGCCCTGTGAATAACATTTTATACAATCCCTCGGGTATTAGGATATGCAAGGGAGGAAGGTCTTTTGCCATGTCTTTGGATCCGATTTTCTCCCAGGTAGTCCGAGAAAGGCACAAGGCTTGTGCTCAGCTTTGCCCAGTGTAAATAATTTTAATGTGGATCTTTTAATTTATAGCCCTTCAGCTATTTTTTGGAAAGGAAAAGGAAGTTCTTAGCTCAGAGCCCACGCTCCAGTTCTTTGCTCTTAAATTTTCCATTCGTAAAATTCACCCCCAGTCAAAGATAGCGATGGATTTTGGAATTTGGAAGTTGGTAGGGAGTGCTTCAGTTCCTGCTTACCTGTCATCTGGGGAAAAAAAAAAAGTGTTTATATTGCATGATTCAAAGGGAATATGGCAAAGCTGCATCCTAAACATTTTTTTTTGTTTTGTTTTTCTTTTTGTTTTTTTAAAAGTGTAACCACTAATGGCCTGAAATTTGATAAGGAAAAAGCCCTCCTGCTGTGTGAGAGGCAGGGAATTCCACGAGGAGCATGCCGAGGCGTGCGGCAGCTGCCCCGGCGGTTCTAGGGGTCTCCGAAGAGCAGACACATCTCAAACCTTCTTTGCAGTAAATATTTATATGTACAGTCGATGTTCTTATGGAATTAAGGCTAAGAGAGCCTCGCTCCCCCGTGGCCAGGCCTGGCCAGGTCCCTCCCAGCTCAGGGGGACACGGGGACGACGTTTCACTGTCTGCACACGGTGTCTGCATGCACGTCCCTCACCTCACACCTGCACTAGCGCAGTAGCTCCACGGACCCGCAGAAGTCCTCGCATGCCCACGTGGTGTGAACGCGCCGGCAGCCCGAGCCTCGCGCCGGGCCTGCCCTGGGGAAGGGGTGGGAGGGGGTGGGATGGCTCAGGCGGGGTGGGGGAAACTCATTATTGCTTCTAGTTGGGGTCCCAAAGGTGGTTTGGGGTGGTCGGGGGGTTCTACGAGGCGGTTCTTGGGGATCCGCGGTGCTGCCGGTGCATGGCTTTGGCGCAGAGTTGGTGACTGAGTAAGTGATGGTTGTTTTGGTGGCGTTTGGGGACCAGGTCCAGACGAGGGACCCAAGAGCAGGGGGTGATGCTGCAAAATGGGGGGCAATAATTGGGGGACTGTCACGTGGGACCACGCGGGGCCAGCCCAGAGGAGGCGACGCTCCCGCTGGCTCTGGGCTTTGTACCCTGAGAGGAGAATTGAAGGATGAGGAAAAGAGTTTCTCCATGTGCCCATCAACAAAACACCAGGCCAGCTTCCCATAGCAGAGCAGCTCTGAGCCCCCGGGGAAGGGAGGTGCGGGCTTTGTGTAGCCAGAGCCAGGAGAGGAGCTGTGGGGTGGCCAGGAAAGGGCCACACCAAGTTTCCCAGGGGAGTGTGTATCTTGTTTTTTTCCTTTTTTAATCACTAACACTTAACTCACCCGACCAGATCCAGCTCTTTCAGCCAGGCTCTCCCCAGCCCTGCCCCCTCCCCAAACCCAGGGCAGCAGGAGCATCCTCCGTGTTTCATCCAGATCCAGCCACCTCCGGCGCTGGCTGCACTGGGAGCGGTTCCCACCCTGTCCCCTGCAGCTGCCACCTGCCCCCCCTCTAGAAACGCTGTAGCTGAATCGTAGTCTTTATATTTTCTTTTTAATCTGCAATCTGAGGTAGCCTAGTGAGTGTCGTGTATTTAGTGGCGTGTTATTTTTAATCGCGGTGACTAACTTGTGGACATCAGTATTTTCAATTTTCTCCGTATCTTCTTTCCATGTGGTCTGTGCTCCGAGTGTACGTGAAATGAAACACGTTTGCCCTTTCAATGTGTCTAATATTGAATTATACTTATATATTATATATATGCTTATATCCTTCTTATACCCATATAGACCAATGTCGATGTGTTACACGCAAGTTTTATACTCTAATATTTATATTGCTTTTTTTCTTTGGGAAAAAAAAAATAATAAAATGGTTTCTTCTGAATGAGTGGTATTTATTCTGGTGGGAAAAGGGAGGCACAGATGGTGCTGCTGACAGGGGATGGTTCAGCCCCTGCCTTGGCTCCAGCAGTGGGGATGCTCTTGGGGCACCCCCAGTCTCGCTTCCCCCAGGCCTGCTCTGGTGGCACCCCCATCCTTTGGTCTCCCAGGCCTTTGAGTGGAGGGTGACATGGCTGTGGGTCATGTCTGAGGACGCAATGGGGTCCCAAGAAGATCCAGCTGCCCCTGTCCATCACTGCAGGGCTCTGGTCACTATTGCCCTGTCCTGGAGGATCAGGAGATCCCAGCTGGGATTCCATCACCCTCCCTCATCACTGCCATCAGGAATCCACTCTCCCTTCTCCAGCCCCGCTCTGGTTTGCTTTCCGTGGTCTCCCCTCTCTGCACTTGAGGACAGCGGGTGGGAGATCATTGACACATCGTGACCGGAGCTCCCTGGCCAAGACAATCCTCCCACCCTCTCCCTGCGGGGGTCCGACACGGGCTGAGGAAAACATCCCGTGGCTCAGGGTGTCGCAACCCTGCAGGAAAAAAATAAACTGCTGCTGGCCAGATGTGAGGGGGAGGGTGGAGGAGCAGTCTCGGGAGACAGACAGACAGACAGACAGACAGAGCCCGGGGCTGGGCGTTGGGGCCGGTCCCCCCTGATGGCAGAGCACAGGAGGTTTGGCTGGGGGTGCCACTCGGTGCCTGGAGCTGAGGGTCCCCAGGTGGGTGACGGTCACCGCTGGCGGGGAACAAAGAGGCTTTGCCGAGCTCCAGGGGTGGGTTTGGCTTGAGGAGCCGCAGCCCCCCTGTGCCCTGAGCCCCGCGGTGTCCCCGTGTCGCGGCTGCGGGTGTTGGGGTCAGGATGTGCCCAGTGAGAGGGGGCACATGGAGTTTCATTTCATTTCTCTCTCTCGTTGAAATCGCCCCAGGGCACGGCGAGAAGGGGAAGCCGCAAACACAGACCTGGCCAATTAGCTCTGACGAAGGAAACCCGGTCAGGCGCGCTAATTAGCGGGGCCAGGCGGGAGCGGAACGTGTTCAGTGCAGCGTGGAGAGCTTCGGGAATTCCCGAGCTGAGGCCAACAGAAACAGAGCTCGAGTCACAGTCCTGACAAAGGGGACACAACGAGCGTGGCGAGCCAGAGCCCCCGGCAGGCGCTCGGGACATCGCGGGGCTCCAGGGAAGGGTGGCCTGGCTTGAGGAGGTCCTGGAGCTGGGATGGGAGCGGCACGGGAGGTCTTCCACTGCAGCCATGGTGGGGATTCAGCAGCAAAGCCTGAGGTGCCCAGCCAGCTCCAGAGGGATGTGCCTGGGCCGGGGTGTCCGTGCTGGGCTGCCATGGATAGCCCTTGACAGCCAAAAGGGGCTCGGATCTTCCTCCACCCTGGTGTCCTCCTGCTGCTGCTTCTCCCCTTTCCCCATCATGGGATTAGCTCAGCACCTCTTCCTCCCCTCCCTGTCATTGTCCCAGGTACACCCGTGGCGTGGGACCAGGGGAGCTTTGGACTCCACAGGCAGCAGGGCTGGAAGCTCTTGGTGGTACAGGAATGGGTCACACAGGGGTGGAGACCCCTTCGTTCCCCCTCTGGGGACTGTCCCCAACTCACTTCCCATCCAGATGCCACAGGTAGTGCTGGTCCCATGTCACCAACTTGTGCAGTCCTTGTTTGCACAGCTCTGTTTTGTTTTGTTGTTTTTTTCCTAATTGACCTTGAAAATCAAACCAAAACACAACAGAAAATAAAATAAAAAAAAAACCAAAAAAAACAAACAAAAAAATTCCAAACCAAAAAATCCCTCCCAAAAAAAACCCCCCAAAAACCACAAACCCAAACAAACACACAAACAAGTAAAAACACCAAAAAAACTCCCAAAAAACCCAAAAAGAAATGAGCTGAGCCAGTTTTCCCTTGGATCTGTGAGCTGAGCTGACCTGTCACTCGGCCCCAGGGAGGACTGGGTGGGGAGCTGGAACCTCCATCAGGCTGTGGTCATGGGCTGAGTCCCATCAGCAGCTCCTGCAGTCGTTACTTCACCCAGCAAAGCAGGGGGGGTGCAAATCACCAAAAAAAGCTGAGTTTTCATGCAGCTCTCCTCACCCTTTCCTTTGGGGTCCCCAAAGGCACCGGGGTCTGACACAGACACTGAGCCTGCTCGGAGCACCAGCCCTGGGAGCTGGTGGCAGCAGGGGCTTCTCCTCCCAGAAATGCCTCAGAGGGGAGGGCAGCCAATGCCATCTTGGAAATCACGGTATTTGGGATAAAAAATATCCAAAAGGTATCCACGGGGGCAGTGGGTGCAAAAGGTGAGGAGAGGAGAGGGGATATTCATAGCAGGGGATGTGGTGGGAAAGCCCCCGCTGCCCTGCTGCCCTCCAGCCCCTCCATGACATCCCCTGGGATTTTATTTCTGATTTTATTTCCCCCTGACACAGCTGGCTCCTCTCACACCTCACATTCCCCGGGGGGGGGCGGGAAGCGAGAGGTGTTTCACCATCCTCCACATCCCTTCCTGCTCCATAAATCCACTTCCCGCCGCCGTGATTTATTATTATTTATAACAACAATAAAGCGTGCGTAGATGGAATAAAATTTGCCTTTTGCTGACTGAAACCTTGTGACCACGGGGAAGGAGAGGGCGGGGGAGGGCCCTGCTGGCCCCGCTGGGGCTCGGGGGCTGCCAAGGCTCGTCCATCACGTGGAGGAGCAGGACCAGCCCTCAGCCACTCTCTGGCCAAAATCGGATATCGGTGGGATTTTGCCCTTTTGCAGCCTGTGAGACTTTGTGGTGACCTCTGCCATGAGCTGCTGGGAGAATGCTCTGTCTGTCCGTCCTCCCCCTGGGACAGAGCCCTTGTCCCAGCCCTGCTGGTGGCCGGGTGCCCAGGGAAGCAGCCAGAACCTGAGGTCGTGGGGCTGGGAGAGGGGAGGGCAGGGAGGAGGAGCGATGCCAGGAGGAATGAGGACAAGCCAGACAAAGATTCTGGGCACTGCTGTTAGGACACAGAGTGGCTGGAAGGGCTCAGCTCCAAGGGGACACCCCTGTGTGTGTCCCCCACACTCTGGAACTCTCCCTGCAGTGCTGTGAGTGCCAGGGCCACTGTCACAGAGCTGCTGGTGGCAGAGCCAGCCCAAGTGCCTGCTCCCAGGGCCTGCTGCTGCCTCTGCAGGCAGGAACATCCCTCTGCTGATGCCTTAAGTTTCAGCTTTCCTATTTTCCAGATTCTGTACTGCATTAGTTTATAACTCCAAATTTCATATAAAGTCTTGGCAAGTTCTCCTCACAGCTCAGTCAGACACAAAAATCCTTTTCCAGCCCCAGAGCCAAGGGCAGCATTGCAGCTTCAGGCCCAAAAAGCACAAACAGCACCAAACTGAGGAGAGCAGACTGGGAGGATGGGACTTCATCAACTGAGGCTGTAATTGGACAATTAGCCCCAACATATAAGTGGACCAAAACTTATAAAAGTGTGAAAACTCGTGACTGGTCTTCCACCTTGCATCCATCTTGGGTCCATCTTGGGCAGAGCCACAGCTGCGGTCTTGGACTGCCCAAGGTGTATCTTTGGAAAGCCTTTTTAATAAATCCCTGCTTTATTCCTTTAACTCTGTCTGGCCTCTGTTCTAGAAGGCCTCTCAAGGCATCACTGCTCCCCCAGAGCGCAGGGCTGGTCCCCACCAAAGCAGCCCTGGGGAGTCCCTGGAAGCACAGAGCCAGGCAGTTCCCTCTTGGATACCTGCAGCCCCCATTAACCACAGAGGGCTGGGGCAAAGGCAGGCTTTGTGAAACCAAAAAAGGCCAAGAAAAGCCAAAATGCTCCTCTGGCAAGGCGCAGGGGGTGCCCATGCCTGGTGCTGCCTGCCCGAGCTTTCTCCCTTTGGCACATGACAAAAGTGGCTGTGCCCTGTTTGGGGAGGGGGATTTTGGCCCCCTCTCCTCTTGAATGGGCAGCAAAACCACCCCAAGCTTTTCCAGGGAGCAGGAAAGGGATTGAATCCGTCCGTGTTGGGGTGTTTTCCCCTCATGGGGTGTGGGTGACACGGAGCCCAGAACATCCTGCTGGCCAAAGTTTGGCGGCCACCGCTGGTTTTGGGCTGGGAAGCAGAGACACGTCCTGGGAACCTGCCCTCATCTCCCACAGGGCTCAGAGAGATGGGATTTGATTTGAGATTTGAGAGGAGCCCTCCTGGGTGAGCTCCAGGTGATGACACAGCCTGGCTGTCACAGGGAAGGGGAAGAGCCCCCCGAGGGCTTTGGGGATCAGTGCCCAGCTCAGTGCCACCTGCACCGCAGGTCCCCAGGATGGGGTGGGGACCCTGCCACCCTCCCCATCACCTGCAGACTGGGAGGGGCCCTGTGAGCTGCCCCAGGGGCAGGGGGGGCCTGGGGCTCCCCCCAGATAAATGGAGGAGGAGGAAGAGGAGGGTCCTCGTGCTGCAGAGTGAGATGGGACGGGCGCCAGCGAGGGACAGTGGCCAGATGGAGCAGAGGGACAGGAAGAAGGAGACAAAGCTGCTTTGTGCAGGGCAGGAGGGGAATGGGGAAAGGGCTCGTGGCTGGCTCCCTTCAACCCCACAGCGGGGTGCAAGGGATAATCCACAGGGGTGCAGGAAGAAAATGTGTTTTGTATCATTAATAGCTTCAAAAATCTTTTTAAACGGTGTTTTTCTTTGTCATCTCTCCCCCAATCCTTATTTTACCTCGTGTTTTAGCTCACGCTTTAAAGCGCACTTGTTAGCCCTGCAGTACGTGTAGGGAATTAATAAATCAATTAATATATTGGAGGGGGCGTGGAATAAAAATAATGTGGAGCCTGGAGCTCTACAGGGTGCTGGTGTTAGAGAGCAAGAGTCCTCCCCCAGCCTGCAGCACCCCGGGGTGATGGGGCACCTCCCTGATGAAGGTCCTGCAGAGATTTGGGGTGTCCCCACCTCCTGACTGAGCACCACCCCCATGGTCCCTCTGAGGCCACCCCAGCCTGGCTTCCCTCCATC